CTGCTGGGCTCCGGCGATCCTTCCGCCTCAGCCTTCCGAGTAGCTGGAACTACAGGCGCGCGCTACCACGCCCGGCTAATTTTTTTCCTGATTTTTATTGTAGAGATGAGGTCTCGCCAAGTTGCCCAGATGGGTCTCGAACCCACGGGATCAGGCAATCCATTCACCTCAGCCTCCCAAAGCGCAGGATGACAGGCTGAGCCACCGAGCCCAGCTCAAACACTTTCTAATGATGATAAAATAATCAATAGAAAGAGAAACTAGCACTGACATTCTTCTCCTTCATTCTGCCCCCATCACATTCTCTCATGTCTCAATTCTCCCCACACCCTCCACCACCTCCTAGTGTAGAAGTCTGATGTTTGAATCTGTTCATGGCTTGGATAATCAGAGCGAGAGTCACCTTAACAGATACACTATACTATCAGACCACAGAGATGGTGTATAAGCCAATCAGGAAGAGGAAAGAGTACTGACTAAGCTAACACTTGACATTTACAAATCACCAGCAACAAGTTAGAAATTAACATTTTTTTATACCCTACTTAAGAGATATGTCATAATCCACTGCTTGCGCTTTGCCTCTCTGCCTTCTCTTCAAGAAATTATACCTCTGACTTATTTCAAAAGGAATGCAGAGCAGCTGACATTTGGTCTCCAATGCATTATACTGCTTTTGGTCTAACAGATCAAAACATCTCCATATAGGACATTTTATAAACTACTTCACCAGTACGACTCAAAACTGCCAAGGTATGAAAAACACAGAAAGAGTAAAAAAACTGACACAGGCCAGAGGAGACAAAGAAGACATGACAACCAAATGCAATGTGGTACCCCTGGATGAGATCCTCAAACAGAAAGGGGCCAATGAAAAAACTAGTGAAATCCAAACAAAGTCTAGAGTTTAGCTCAGAGCAATGTACCAATGCTGGTTTCTTAGACTTAACAAATGTACTGGTTTAATATATCTGGAAAAGTGAGTAAGGGTTACATGAGAACTTAGTGTACTGTCTTTGCAACTTTTCTGTAAATATACAAGTACTGCCTATTAGGTTAAAAAAATCTTCTAACTCCTCTCAACCAAAATTCTGCCCACAGCAGCTTCTCTAGAAGGAAGAGAAACTAATGTTCCTAAGGGATATCCAATCATCAGACAGGGGTTTTTACCTGATAATCAAATGTGGCCAGTATTTCAAAATGACTTTCTCTAATTTTCTGTTAACTGTTTTACAGTTATTCTCCTATTCATTCACTTGACAAATAATTACATCACACAGCAGTATGAATCACCCTGAACTAATTCCAAAATATGAGGGCAAATTTCATCGAAATACTCCTGTACCCTAGAGAGGTTTCATCACTTCAAAAACACACCCAAGGACGGGCAAGGTGGCTCAAGCCTACAATCCCAGCACTTCAGAAGGCCAAGGCGAGAGGATTGCCTGAGCCAAGGGGTTCAAAATCAGCCTGGGCAACTTGGTGAGACCTCATCTCTACAATCAATCAAAATAAAAAACAAAAACACACCCAAAACCAAGGCACTAAGTATTGCGATCCACCTCACCATTTTATACATAATTTCACAAATGAGATATAAAAATATCCTTTCACAGGGTACCCAAAATATGAGCTATTTCTTTACCTTATTTATAATGTTATTCTGGCTTTCATTACACATACACCTAAGTATTATATTTCATGGGACATGGTGATTTTATTTAATTAGGGGAATTTAAAATGGTAAAAATAAAATGAAAAAAATCAAACCACTCAAAAGGCAGAATAAAGGTGAAAAGCAGAGAGGCACAAGATTAGACTTTTTTGCTCTTTTTATTTTTATAAAGACAGGGTCTCACTATGTTGCCCAGGCTGGTCTCGAACTCTTGGCTTCAAGTGGTCCTCCTGCCTTGACCTCCCAAAATGCAGGGATTACAGGCGTGAACCACTATACCTGGTCAGATTAAAGAGCTTATATGAAAAAATAGTCAGAGGAAGAAAGGAAATTTGTAACAATTCTCTGGGTATTTTGTGGGGTTTTTTGTAGTTGTCCCACCCTGAATCCGTTTGTTAAATAATCTCAATCTCATGTTTTTTTATCTACAGCATTAAGATAGCAATGCCAGTCCACTGACTAAATTATTTTTAAGTCTACACAAAATTAGGCCCAAAACACAGCCATTCATAAAAAGCTACTTTTCAGCAAAAATTAGCTTTTAAAAAACTAAAAATTGCTAACCACTAGCAATACCTAAAAAAAATTGTGTGTAAGTATATTTTGAACCTGAGTAAAGCAGAAACCAACTCTGCAGCCAGCTAGAAGCTGACCAGATTCCTGTTTGCTTACCTTGGAGACTTGTCGCAGCCACCTTAAGTATTCTGTGAAAGTATCAAAGCAAATGTAGTAAGTCTGGCTTTGGGGTCCAGAGGAGCTAAATGCTAAACAGTGCTGGTGCTTTTTCACTTCTTCTACCTATAAAAACAAGCAAAGAAAAGCAAAATCAAGTAAGTTAGCAGAACCACTGATGTATTTCACTAACTGTACTTCAGATCAACGAGCTTGCACAGATTTGCATCTTTCCTTATATATGTTCCTTTCATTACTTAAAAAAACTAAGTTCTTGCATCTGACCAACCAATATGAATTAGAAAGAAACAAAAAAAGGAGAGTTTTATCTTTATTAGATTTCCCCACCACAGTGAAATTCTCTTCTTCCTGTTTAAAATTGGTCCAGACTCCCTTTCTTATTCTTGTAACCTCACAATAGGGTGCTGAGGGCTGACTTACTCTTAAAATTTTCACTTAGTAATTTACTTAAGAATTTTTTCTTAAGGGACTTTTGATTACTCTGAATTGCAATCTTATTTTAAAATAAGTCTTAGAGCATGTTAAATAAGTTTTTAAAACTTATTTGACTGAAATTAACCTGAAATAAAATCCTTCCATGAGAACTTGCAAGTCCTAGTAATGAAGTAGCATAGTCAAATCAAATTTCTACTCCCAGTAAATTTTTTACAAGAGGGAAAAATCCAAACAACAAAGTAACATAACAGTACACAAATTTCTATGTTTCATTTACAAAAATGATTACAAGTCAAGTCACACAAAGTATAAAAAATCTGCAAAAAGATCAGTATCACATAGACTAAGTTCCGGACCAAGATGCAATTAAGTTACAAATCAACAATAAAAAATCAATTTAAAATCCATGTATGTTTAGAAAATAAAACACTTCTAAATAACACTTTTAAACTATACAATTCTAAATAACTCACAGGTAAAAGGAGAAATCATAATCAAAATTGTATTTTCTTTATTATTATTATTTGTTTAGTTGGGAGTCTCACTCTGTCACCCAGGTTAGAGTGACAGTGGCGTAATCCTAGCTGGACCCAGGAGATCCTTTCGCCTCAGCCTTTCAAGTAGCTGGGACGACAAGTGCCTGGATAATTTTTTTTTAATTTTTAAGACAAGGTCTCATTAGGCTGGTCTCAAACCCAGATTGTTGGGCATAAGCAATCCTCTTATCTCAGCCTCCCAAAGTGCTGGGATTACAGACATAAGGCACCACGCCTGACCTGTAATCAAAATTTTCAAACTTAACAATTATATAAATACTACATATCAAAATCTGTGTATTGCAATAAAAGAAGCTAGATAAAGGGAAATTTATATTTTTTAATGCTCATATTGGAAAAGAGGACAGAAAAGTAATTTGACCAGCACAAAACCACAACAAAACAAATAAATCCAGAGTAGAACAAAGGCTATGATAAATGCAGCAATTGGTGAAATGAAAACTAGACAGGTAACAGAGAACATTAACAAAGCAAAACACTGGTTACTTTTTAAAGACTACTAAAATTCATAAATCCTCTGGGAAATTCTGTCAAGAAAAATAAGACATACATAAATAATATTAACAATGAAAAGGTGGCTATGGCTACAGGTTCACCAGATAGTTTACCAACATTATTAAATCAAGAAAGAACAAAGGCCTAAATAGCTCTACAACCATTGAAGAAATAGAATGAGTATCTTTTTCTGAATTTCTCAAAAAAATATCAGGCCCATACTTTACAGGTAAGTTTTACCAAAGTTTCAAAAAGCACATCATTTCCAAACTCATGCAAACTCATCCAGAAAACAAAAAAAATTAAGGAAAATACCTCAGCTCATTTTATGGGGCCAACATAACCAGAGCTATATCAGCACAGTAGCAGGCAACCTCAGGTAATCTCAGTCATGAAGACTTATCTGAACAAAATGTTGCATCAGAATCCAGTCATAGAGAAAAAATATATATATCAAGAACAAGCTCAAGGTAGGAAAGATACTTTAACATTATTAGAATTATAAAAGCATTAACCACGTTAACAAATTAAAGAAGAAAACCATATGATCATACCCTACAGTTGCTGAAAAAGTAGTTAATAGCATTTACCAACTGTCCATCATTTGGAATAAAAACTTTCAGCAGACTCAGAACACAAATAATTCACTTAAGCTAACCAAGGGTATTTATTAAACATCTAAAGCAAACTTCAAAGTTAATGAAGTATCACTCTCTTTAAGATCATCGATAGGATAAGTTTCTATTTAACTCTGTACTAGAGTCCTGGCCATTACAGTAAGACAAAGAAAAAGAAGAAAGAAAACCATAATTTTTAAAATTATGACATGATTAGCTACATAGTAAACTCAAAAAAATCTTACAGGCATCATATTAGAATAAACCAGAAAATATACCAAGGTGGTTGAAGAGAAGATTAATCCTCAATATAGCGTTTCTATACACTAAACAGAATATATAATTTTTTTTAAATGCCATTTAAACTAATCTAAATTGATAGAGATCAGGCAAAAGGTTTCTTGGAAATGGAAACAAATGAGTGGGAAGGAATACAAATGGAAGGAAACTTTTGGAAGTGATAGATGTTTTCATTATCTTGATTATGAAGATGGTTTAAGGGGGTATACAGCTATCAAATTGTATTTAGTGGTGTATACAGTCATCATACTTATTAAAATGTACTTTATTGTTGTCAATTACACTGCAGTAAAATGTTGGTGAAGATGCAGAAAAACAAGAAACTTGTACACTGCTGTGGATGCAAAATGGTACAACAACTTTATAAGATAACTTGATTTCAACTTCTAAAATTAAATGTGTATATGCTCCCAAAGCCCAATAACTGCACTCCTAAGTATGTGCCCAAGGGCAGTACTTCTCAAGGAGGTCATTATAGAAATTCTGGATTGAAGAGTTCTTCATTGTGCATAGTGCAAGACTGTATAATACTTTGCATATTTTACTCTTTAGGCCCCTGTCTTCATATGTCAACAGTGTTCCCTTGCAACAAAGACAGTTGTAATTACCAAGTACTCTTTCTATTTCTCCACATTTCTCAGACCCCTTGCAATTAAGGTGGCGTAATGTGACTAGTTCTGGTCAATAAGCCACTGGGCGAAATGGCAATGTGTCACTTCTGCATCCAAATATATGAGATGGTAAGACTCTCCACTTACCTCTTCCCCTGCCAAAATAACAAAGGGAGGCCGCATGTCCCAAATGTGTGAGTACAAAAGAGCAGAGTTTTCATCAGGCTAAGTCCCTCTACAACTATGTGAAAAAAGAAATTTCCACCCCTCAACCCCACTGACCCACAGTGGACATACAACGTGAGCGAGAAATAACTGTTACAGTACATCACTGAAATTTGGGAGGGTTGTTAACATGGCATAACTTAAACCTATATTAGCTGATATGTTGACTGTTCAATTATTTTACCATCATAACATTCCTACATATTAGCAAATGCCTCTTGGGCACATTAACTCTATTTGCAAACTACTGCCCTAGAAGAAGTATTTGCATACCAGGAGGCCAATCAACATAAGTCTATGTAAGTGGCATTGCTTTTAACAACCAAAAACTGGAAGCAACTCAAATATCAACAGGAAATTTACTTAGAAAATTATGAAAATTGTGGAATGTTTACAGAGTAGAACATTATAGAGAAAACCATATAAACATCATGGAATCTTATTATGATACATTATATTGAGTGAAAAAATTCAACTGCAGAAGACCACAACTGCAAGAAAATGATGACTACACATTCTAGGACTGTGAATATCTCTAGGATTAGGAGAGGCAACAGGACAGATGTAAAGAGAACACAGGTAGAAGAAACGTTAATATTGATATTGCTACAGTTCCTAAACTGAGTAGTAAATTAATAACTACTCCATTAATTGTGCTTCATAATTTAGCAAATATTAAGTATTAATTAAAATGCATTATCTAAAAATCTAAGGGCAAATTCAATATTACAAAAACAAAACAAATTTTTGGATAATTAAATAGTAAAAGAGTTTAACTTAACAACAGCAAAACTATTTATTATTTGAAAATACAAACTAGCCAGGTACGGTGGCTCAAGTCTATAATCCCAGCACTTTGGGAGGCCACGGTGAGAGGACTGCCTGAGCCCACAGATTCGAGACCAGCCTGGACAACTTGGCGAGACCTCATCTCTGCAAAACTGAAGAAAAATTAGCTGGGTGTGGTGGTGCATGCCTGTAGTTCCAGCTACTTGGAAGGCTGAGGTGGAAGGATCACCTGAGCCCAGAAGGTTGAGGCTGCAGAGGCCGTGAGCGTGCCACTGCACTCTAGCCTGGGCGACAGAGTAAGACTCGCACTTAAAAAAAAAAAAAAAAAAAAAAAGAAAAAGAAATGTAAATTAATGACCATGCTCCAGCAGTATATCAATTTGATGCCACAGCAGTTAAAGCTAGGTTATGATCAATTTATCTCACACCTTATTTCTAGCTCATTTATATATAAAATAAAAAGAAAAAAAATCAAATCCCTTCCCCATTTACTGTTTTTCCTGTTACAATAGGACAGAATGAAAAGAAAAAAAAAAGAAATGGCAAACATTAATGAAAGCTGAGACTGCAAAAAGTAAATTATTTTTCCCTAGCTCGATCAACAGGTTTTAAAGACTCAATTTTTCAATGTATTCAATTATTTTTAAAGGCATAGCGTAAAACAGGTTTTATAAGGTTTGCTTGTGAAAAGAGGAAGCTATTAACTTTCAATTCACTCAATGGTAGAAGTCCACCCAATAATAGGTCTGGGAAACAGGATGACAAGTCTCCATTTCTGAATACAAATGCTAATTATAACTGGATCTGCTGACCTTATCTCCTGCCTTCCTGCCTCTGCCTCTCTGAGCATAATAATCTTTCTGACCACCTTCTTCACATATCAAAAGATTTTTTTTCGTCTTCATATTCTACCATAATTGCTGCCTCCTTTATTACAAAACCACCTCTTCCCTCCACAAAATGTAGTTTCTCCTTCCACTAATTTCCCACAGTACTTTTCTGCACCTCTCTTACAACAGATATTGTTGTATCTACCCTTTATCTCTTGAAACAAAATTATAATCTATTCAAAGGCAGGGATGGTGACTTACCCATCTTAGTATTTCTGGGGTATCAAGCACAGTGCCTTCCCCACAGAGTATACTGAATAAATATGTTATAAATACAAATATAAATATCCCTATGCAAACACCAGCATCTTAGAGAAGAGATGGACTGCTGACCTAACAAAGCATCAAACATTAAATATGCATTTTAATGATGATCTATGGTGGCAATATTGATCAATTTTTCAGCAATCCATGAGTCGGCCATTAACTCATAAATGCTTAGACAAAAGTTAAGGAGCAACGGTTTCAAAATGGATGACTAAAACAGACTGAAATGCACCTTGGACCACATAACCAAAATCTACTGTTGAAGATGATGAAATATTAGCCTTCTTAGAACTAGAATATATAAATAGTAAGAGGGGGAAAAACTGATAATAGGCTATTTATTCATAAAGACGATGAAGAACGTGCTTGCAACGCCACAGGTGAACAACAAAACCACTTTTTAGGACACACAGCTGGTCTTACTTCCTTTATTTATAATCCCTGGAACAGATCAGACATTTGTCAAATTTAAAAAAAATTTACTTTAATAAAAGTTGGTTGCTTATTTTTTCTCTTTTTAGATTCTCCATCTCCTGTCTCCTTTCCAATGCTCACTCAGAAGGAGAAAAAAGTGATAGAGAAAAAATTTGTTTCATATGCATCCAATGTCCATTTTCTCATCCAAATCTTCCTTCTTTTTAATTAACATATTGTGTCATTTAAAAATCAAGAAATACCAGCATATAATTATAGCGATGCTACCCCCTCCAACGCTTGGGTGTATATAAATAAATCTGACAAAGAAAAGAATGTAACATTTTCCCAAGCAATCTGGTTCCCTCTATTTTACAAATGATAGGAAAAAAATAGTTAACATGCCCAAAGAACATCAGTCAGTAATGTCAGAAATATCTGTCAGTTGAAAAATACCATGTTTTCTCTGAAATGAGAAACATTTAATAGGATTCAAATATATGACTTGTTATGGTAATAAACTAAAAATGCTAATCCCACTGGTTACTAAACACAAAGAGGTAAAGAAAAGGGTGATCAAAGACTTAATCACTAGAGAGTTCCTTGGTAAACATGCGTGAATGTTCCCAAGGTCACAAACGTAAGGACTGGTACACTCTACATGTAAGCTTATGATATCAGAAGTTGTTCACTCATAAATGAGTTTATCATCTACACTCTAAAAGATAACAGTGACACTCTATCTGATCCATTTTCAATCCAGTAGGTAAAAATGCATGTACTACTGAAGTGACAACCACCAGGACATCATGTGAGCCAATGGCAGTTATTTTTCACAACTCCACCAACCAATACTCCCCACAGAGAGTGAGCACAAAAGGAAACGAATAAAATCTCAAACGAGTAAAAAATCATCTACCTCTTATATCAGAAATGGCTCAAAGTAAGGTTCTTACTGATGCTGGGAAACCTGTTAGTACTTTGCTTGTTTTAAACTTACTTTTCCACCAATTAGTGGCAGAACATGCATCTTTCCAGTCAAGCTGTCTTTCACAGATGATACTATCAGGCAGGTCCCACACAGGATGACTTGGCGTCTTGTCCATCGGTTCACTGGCAACTGCATTTTGCCTTTACGGACATTGTACATTCCTGAGAGCTGAATCCGTTCAGAGCTACTGGTGCTGTGAGGTTTTCCTAAAACAAACACAAGCAAACATGTTCTTTAAAAATGAGCTTTTTCCCTAACTCATCTGAATATTAGATATATTAATTAGAAAACCAGAAAATAATTACAGAAAAACTAAGTTACAATTGAGAGAATATGACAGCTGCAGTAAGAAAATTATGGTAAAAACTACCACATCTACTCTATGCATACATTTTCATATTAGGTAAAGGAAAGTCTTTTCCTTAAAACCTTAGAGAATGACCTTTTTAACCCATTTTAACTCAAGTTTTATTTTCTTGTGTCTTTCACAATTTAAGTTTACATTTGAAAAAAGATGACTTCAAGATTTTTAATGGATGGTTACAGTTAATTTAAATATTCTAATAATTTAAGAAGAAAACATTACAGACTGAGTTAGGAAAATAACAGCCAACATCTTGTGTTTAATATAACTAATCAGTTTAATAAAATTAACTGCTGATATTTTCCCTTCTACATATATTCAGTGATATTTACTATTAAAAAGACACAAAAAAAGATTTTTCTAAAAGGAAAATACTGTTTTTCCTTTTAGAAATAATATCCCACTTATCATATTTGAATATTCATAACTACAAGTGTTCAAAGAGAAACCTAACAACAATCCATGAAGGATGGGTACTCCGTTGCTTGTAATTCATAGAGAGGAGCACAGAAGCAAAGAGACAAACCTTGAGACTCAGAGTGAGAGCGAACTGAGAAAGATCTGATGAGTCCTCATTTCCCAAGTGCAAATAAACTTGGCAGAATTGCATTCAAGTCCTATCAACTTAATGGGAGAACTACTGTGATTAACATGACACAGTGACAGAGTTGCATAGGAAAGAAGAAAAGTATTTCTCCAGTTCTAGATACTGGATATATAATGTCAAAGAGTACTGAGACCCACGTCAGAAATAAGTTAGTAAGAGATACATAATAACAACATAATAATGGGTGACCAGAAGTGATACATTTACTTGGAAGTCTGACTAGCTGCGAAGGGCTAGCATAAGAAATAGGTTCAAGAGAAATTATATTATTACAAATATTAAAAATCAACATAAGTACCAAGTAGTTTTGATAAATTCCTAATAACTACTAGATAGGGAACAGGAAAAGCAACAGAACTATAGATAGATCTCAATAAGCTCCAAAGAGTATCTGAACCCTCCTCCTAGTACATACTTTAGGTAGGAATGTTAGGAAATAACCAGCAGATTTAAATTTCACTTCCTCTTTCTCCATGTTCATCAAAATATTTTATAAAATAAATACTTTACATAATTTTTCTGGGGCTGGGCCAGAATGAAATATAACAATGATTCAGCTATTTGAACCAGGAATTCAGCAAACTACACCATTAAAGCCGTCAGTGGAAAGGTACAGTGTTGTCTACCACAGGTTAATTTTCCCACAAATGAGTAAGAAGCCCAGGAGACTACTCAAAACAGACTTGACTTGCGGCTGCCAGTGATGGATCAGACAAGGTCATTCACATGTCTCTTTCTGCACAAGTTCATTTACAGCTCAAGAGGAGGATGCCTAATGCCTAGGTTTCCTGCAGAGAGAAGTACGAGAGAAATAGGAGAGAAGACAAGACTCAGGAGAAAAATGAAAGGTAACTGAAAGACTAAAAACAATGTACAACAGACAACTGGGTTTCCAAAATGCAATTTTCTTGACTGTAATAAACTAACATTCTCTATCAAGGAATCTGATCTGATAGAAGCACGCACACACATACACACTCACAAACATAAATGCCAAAAAGCAGGCATTTTATTCAGCCACATCAGTGAGTGACTTCAAGGGCACTTATTAACCTGTCACATCTATGCAGATCTGTGAAAAACTAGACACCAGAGAAAAAGGGAACAGGGGTACATAAGGGACAGTCCTTCAATTCTCCAACTCCATATATGTCCTAGAAAAAGCCCCAGAGCAAGTCACCAGATAAACTGGACTATCTATCTGATAGATCTTTAAAAGTATGAATACATGACAGAAGCTGGCTTTTTATTCCCTAGTGAGAAAAATTCCCAAGAGTTCTGAGAAGACTTGGAGCAAAATTTTATGATCGGTCTGTCCTTGGAAAGCCCTAAACATCCCAGGCTGAATCCAAACCCTCTGGTCTTTTTCTGTGTGAGTTTCAATATCCCTGATATGTGTCCCCTCCCTGGGTGTTTTCAGATCAGACACACCCTCAGAACTTGGCTGTGTTCCAACTGGGCTCGGGAATATGAAGATGAATGAGGTGACGTACACCTGGTGTACCCTCCCTTGTATCAGACCTCCTTATTCTATGACATATGGAATTATTTTTGCTCTCCTTCCCAATTCTCAAAATTCTCAGTTCAGAGAAATTTCACCTGCCCTATGTGCTAATAAACACTGACAGCACCAGTAACCAATGTCTGCCTGTTTAAAGCTAGGTCAGTGGTTATAACGTTTACTTTAGAAATTACTCTAATTCCCTACAGGTTTAAAGCACTTTTTTACATAATCTAGGAGGAAAAATAGACAGCAAAAGCAAACATTTCAAGTGGAGAAAGAAACATGACCACAACAGAGAATGATTTAAAAACATACTCACATACTTTCTCTTTTACTTACTTGGCACATAGTAGACAAAGTGATCTATACTAGTCGATTTACAAAACAGACACTGGCCCACAAGGTGGTTAAATTCACTTGTACAAAATTATAGTATAATGCTAAGGGATCACACCAAGGTTTCTGGGTCTTAATTACTTACTCAAGACTCCTCTCCCGCACCAAACTGACAATTTTCACTTATTTCACATAGTACAACTTTTGTATAAAGAGAAGAAAAAAAGTATGAAATATTCACAATTAGCCTCTATGTTAGATGCTGGGAATATCAAGAAAATGTTCTCTGCACCCAATTGCTTAAAGCAGAATTTCTAACACTGTGGTTCAATAACCATATTTATCAGAATCACTTGGATTTCTGCCCACTACAACAGCTTTACGGATTTGCAACCTTGGTAGGCAAGGCCTAAGTCCTACATTTCAGTAACCGCCATCTTATGTGCATGTTTTGTGGTCATAAATCTTAAACACACACACACAAAAACAAATTATTCCCTGAAGTCAGCTTATTTCCTAACAAATGTATTCCTCACATTCATAAATTCAGAATTTCATTTCTGCCTTACCACAAGTCAGCCACTTTAATGTTTTTGGGTCTTGGAAGTCTATCTGGAAAATGTGAAAAATAGCTTTCACCAAAGCTTTGGTGGTCCTGTGATATGCATGCCTCAAAAAATAAACATGAAAAAGAACTGTTTTAAAAACAAGCTCTTTCTTACTAGTGGTTGCTTTAGGGTTTATCACATACATTTTAAACTCAAGTCTACCTTCAAGTAATATTATACCACTTCATAAATAATATAAGAAAATTATAACAATATACTTCTATTTCCACTACCAATATAAACTTGTACCACTTCAGGAACAATATGAACCTTACTGGGAATATAACCTGAAGAACTCAAATCACTGTATAAAAAAGCTACCTGCACACGTATGTTTATCGCAGCATTGTTCACAATAGCAAGAACCTGAAGCAACCATGCTGCCCACCAAAAGAGGACTGGATTAAAAAAATGTGGTACATATACACGATGGAATACTACGCAGCCATAAAAGCAGAACAAAATCATGAATTTCGCAGCAACCTGGATGGAACTAGAGTCTATAATACTGAGTGACCTCTCACAGAAACAAAGATCCGAGTATCACATGTTCTCACTCATATAATGGACCTTGAACATCCAATGTAATACTATAAGAAAATGACTGACAGTAGTGGGAAACTATGGGGAGGGGAGATGGGATTAACAGTAGTAAATATCTGTCTGGGGATGGGGAAACACCTCTTATCAACAGGGTGCCTGAATGAAATGTACTTGTATACCTAACCCTTAACTGTACCCCACAACATCATAATAAAAAATATTGATTAAAAAAAAACCCTTATAATACTATACTTCCATTTTCTCCTTCTCAGTCTTTGTGCTACTGTTCCCATTTAGTCTTCTTTTACGTTACTGAAAGGGGTATGCAAGAGTTTGTTTATACTAGCTCAAAAGTTGTTGGTGAGATTTTTAGTAATAATCAAAATTCATCACTTCCTAAGTATTTTATTATTGTCTGTGCACTTACATCTACTGTAGATGAATGCTGAAAATACCAAATAACGGTATATTTCTGTATATCTCTTCCCAGTTCTGTAATTCATATTGGTAGCCTGAAAACAACCAACGTGGTTGTATTTACACTGAAAATTGGCAAATGTTATAATCATGGCAAAGAGGAAGTTTGTTAATTACTTTCTGGTTTGTTTTAGTCCCACCCCATACACTGCTATTATTTTTACTAAGGCAGTAAAATGACCTTACAGGAGAATTTTTAAACCTTTTAAAAAAAATTTATTATTTTCAGTGTTCTTCATTTGTTTATGTAGATCCAGATTTCTATCTGGTATCATTTTCCTTCTGCCTCAAAGACTGTAACATTTCTTATGGCACAGGTCTGCTGGTGATGCTTTTCAGTTTTTGAATATCTGAGGAAATGCTTTTTTTCCTTGTTTTTAAAAGGGATTTTCCTTGTGTATAGAATTCTAGGTTCACAGTTTTTTCTTTCAGAATGCAAAAGATGATCTTCCACAGTCTTCTAATGTGCACTGTTTCTGCTGCAAAGTCTGTTGTCATTCTTCACTCCTTTGTATATAGCATGCTAACAACTCCTTCAGTGATTTTTAAAGATTTTTCTCTTTATCACTACTTTCCAACAATTTGTTTCTTAGCATACTTCATGTTTCTTGTCCTTGAGGTTTGTGGAATTTTTTGAATTTACTGTCAAATTTGAAATTGCTTCAGTCATTACTTCTTCAAATACTTTTTCTGACCTCATAAGGCCTGCACAGGAACTCTAATTACACACATATTAAGCCACTAAAATAACATTAGTGAATTGACAT